CACCGAGTTGCCACCGATTCCCTAGTTCTGCATATATGGCAACCATCATTTCTCTAATAATCCTATTATATGTATTTAGAACCTGTGCACGTGTCCAGCCTGTGCGCTCTGAACGAGCCTCCGTATCTATAATGATTGCCAGAGCCCCTTTCTGATTTACAAATAATACTCTCCACTATCGATTCTATAACAAGTGTTTCAGTAGTATAGATTTATCTTTTGACCAACAGGTTCCAACTGAGACCCTGCCTTGAGTCAAAACAAGCAAGCTGCAGCAAAAAAAATTCAAACTCAAGATGACAAAAATGCATGGCACGAGTCAAATTAAGTGCCGGAATAACATAAATTACCGTTCCATCTGCTATGATTCACCACAGAATATGAAAACAGTAGAAAGAAATTTCACATTAGCCTGCATAAGCTATCTAGATTGACTCCAGAAGTCGCTGTGCCTACAACTGGCTAGTTGATTCATATAAGGACTTAAGCTGGGTTAATTTTACACTACCAACTTTATGCTGGTGAGTTGGACCAATTCGCAATTCGGCAATTCCGCGTTGGCGAAAATAGAACACGTTCTAATCTCCCAACTAGTTGCATTCGATCGTTGGTCGCACAACGTTTGCGTTTACCCTGCGATTGTCGGTTGTATAGTTGGGAAGTTGGTCCAATTCGACAATTCGGCAACACAAACTCGGTAGTGTAAACCCAGCTTTATGGAGTCAGTTCAGCCAGGCTCAGCAGGAATGGCAGTCAGTGCAGGCTGATAGAAACTGGGGATTTCCCCTGTGACCACACAGCTGCCTGAATTTTCCAGGTGGGACGAGGTGGGCATGTCCCCGGACCACGTACCCTAGCACCGCTTGCCTTCGGCACGCCTTCACTCAAATATCACCCCTCCCCCCCGTCTCCTGAGAGCTAGGTCCGGCCCTGGGCTTCTAACTGATCGAGCAATAGCAGCCGCCACATGGCACCAAAGAGTAGAGCAACACCTATAGAAGGAAGTACAGCAGGCAGGCCGGGGTCTCTCTTCCTCTGGCCACAGCTCAGGTTAATTCTGTACAGAGACTTATTAAAAACCAACGTTTCCTTAAAAACCACGTTTTCATCCTTGAGTTCCGTTTGAACTACTACCAAACGACACAGCTTCAATAATCAAGCATCATAATATATCTATGTATCGTTGTGAAACCAGAGAGTAGAAACATTTACGTGTGCACCCTGTTCCAGTGTGTTAGACAGAGACCCGTCTACCCGTCTTTTGGACGGCCTATTCTTGGATGAGACGGATGAAATTTGATAGAGACGGCATGAGGGCGGCCCAATTTTATATTATTATACACCTTGTATAACTGTGTATAAGTACTATAACCTGACAACAGTGCGTATATAAGCATATAAAATTATATCAGATTCTGATCATTCATGTCTTTTTGGCATTTCAGACAAAATGTCCTCCATTTTAAGGTAAGGCCCTCCTCACCTAGGGCACCTCGCGCCTGCAGCGTCCTCGCTTCGCTCAGATGGTGAGACTCCCTGATTTTTTTTTTCTGGCTAACACCCGGCCCTGTTCTAAGTCTCGTTGTTGCTGTGTTACTGAAATCTTTGATGACTTACAGTAGTTCTCCTTTCACAGAACGATCCTACCTACTTCTCATACACAGAAGTGCCCCTGGAGTGCAAGCGAAATGGAATCGACTACCAGGTGGCGCAAGCTGGATTTCTCGGCAAAGCCGGTGTTGTTCTTGCCCGAGACATGCCCGGCGTTCGAGCAGGTATGTAAATAAGTATAAGACTCTTTGTTTTCTGACGTCTGATGCTTTTTTATTCTTGTTTAAGCAATGACAACAGCGTCTAAGACAAAAGAGAAACAAATTATGGAGCAATAATTATGTAAGAGAATTAACATCAAGTAATATTATATATACAGTAACAGTGAGTCAGAGTTCTCTAGTAGTAGTATGTACGTATGTACGAGCAAGTGTACAACGAAGCAGACTCCACGAGTTCTCTAAAAATGGAAGATACTGGGCGTGGGGGTCTCTGTTGCTGGTTCCAATCTCTACAGTGGAGATATTAGGGGCCGGGTTAAACCAGATCCCAAGGTTGAAGTGTTTTGGGGAGATCACTTTTAATATAAGTAAAAAAAGTTTAAAAAAAGTACAAAGTAAAAAGTAAAAAAGTAAAAAGTAAAAAGTAAAAAAATTAGTTGAAAGGTTTCATATACAATGAGAAATCCAGGAAACGCTTGCTTTTCCTTGGTGGGCATTGGGGGCTGGATCGAGGAGAGAAGGATCTATAGGGAAGGCCGACTACAGGTGTCTGATGTGGACTAGAATATGGCACAGCTAATCTATTGTTTGTGCAGATACAGATTAAATAGCTTCTAAGCATTAGTAGATTATAGTAATTTTATATGAAGACTCTACCCAAAACAGAACCCGAGATATGAGAAAAACTCTAAAAAGCCACTCCCGCCTAAAAAATAAGGCATGGTGACACAAGAGGTCACTGCACACTTTTTTCTTGGACCCCAGGCTGAAAATGTTGTCATTTCATGTTGAGATAGGTCATTTCATGTTCAAAAACTCAGCCCTAAGCAAAACAAAAAATGACCCATCTATATAGCCCAGTCCTAGTAGTATAGCTAGAGTATATATACAGGGGTCGAAATTCGCTAAAAAAAACACTTGCACATGCCGCAAGTTAGGCCACAATTACTTATGCCACAATTAGTTATGCCACAATTACTTGCGCCAAGAGATTTTTTCTTGCACCTACCTCTGTTGCTCTCCAAACTAGCAGTACCCCTTCCCTTAATTCCTCCCTGTATTAATTTTAGTTTATGATTTATTCTGTCTTTTGTGTCTAATTCCTGCTCTGATTCAGAGTCATTTACGCTTCAGTTTCGTACAAAAATAAAAATAAAATGGGTCTGACTTCTGATTTATACATTTAAGTAGCTGGCATATTGTTGACTTGCGGCAGCCGCAAGTTGCTACGAAACATAGCTTGCGTTCGGTGAAAATCACTTGTGTTGCGCAAGCCATTCCTGGTAGCCTGGCTGAACTGACTCCATAAAGCTGGGTTTACACTACCGAGTTTGTGAACTGCCGAATTGGCGAATTGGACCAACTTCCCAACTATACAACCGACAATCGGCAGTGTAAACGCAAACGTTGTGCGACCAACCGATCGATAGCAACTAGTTGGGAGATTAGAACGTGTTCTATTTTCGCCAACGCGGAAAATTTTGCCGAATTTCGAAATTGGTCCAATTCACCAATTCACCAGCCTAAAGTTGGTAGTGTAAAATTAACCCAGCTTAAGTCCTTATGAATCAACTAGCCAGTTGTAGGCACAGCGACTTCTGGAGTCAATCTATAGCTTATGCAGGCTAATGTGAAATTTCTTTCTACTGTTTTCATATTCTGTGGTGAATCATAGCAGATGGAACGGTAATTTATGTTATTCCGGCACTTAATTTGACTCGTGCCATGCATTTTTGTCATCTTGAGTTTTGAATTTTTTGTTGTTGTAGGCTTGCTTGTTTTGACTCGAGGGCAGGGTCTCAGTTGGAACCCGTTGATCAAAAGATAATCTATACTAATGAAACATATTGTTATGAATCGATATGTGGAGAAGTATATTGTAAATAGAAAAGGCTCTGCCAATCATTATAGATACGGAGGCTGTCAGAGGCTCAGGCTGAACACGTGGCACAGGTCTAATACAATATAATAGGATATTAGATAATTAGATATTTAGATATTAGAGAAATGATAGTTGCATATATATATGCAGAACTAGGGAATCGTGGTAACTCGGTGGGATAGAGGTCCAGCAGTAGAATGGTACTGGGCTTCAGTGGCAGACCTAAAGGGGGTTGGGGTGGTTGCAATCCCCACTTTCAGCCACTGACTGCCATGATACTAGTAAAATTGGGCCTAAAATAAAAATGTCAGTGCAGGCTGATAGAAACTGGGGATTTCCCCTGTGACCACACAGCTGCCTGAATTTCCCAGGTGGGACGAGGTGGGCATGTCCCCGGACCACGTACCCTAGCACCGCTTGCCTTCGGCACGCCTTCACTCAAATATCACCCCCCCCCCCCGTCTCCTGAGAGCTAGGTCCGGCCCTGGGCTTCTAAGTGATCGAGCAATAGCAGCCGCCACATGTCACCAAAGAGTAGAGCAACACCTATAGAATGAAGTACAGCAGGCAGGCCGGGGTCTCTCTTCCTCTGGCCACAGCTCAGGTTAATTCTGTACAGAGACTTATTAAAAACCAACGTTTCCTTAAAAAACTACGTTTTCATCCTTGAGTTCTGTTTGAACTACTATACCAAACGACACAGCTTCAATAATCAAGCATCATAATATATATCTATGTATCGTTGTGAAACCAGAGAGTAGAAACATTTACGTGTGCACCATGTTCCAGTGTGCTAGACAGAGACCCGTCTACCCGTCTTTTGGACGGCCTATTCTTGGATGAGACGGATGAAATTTGATAGAGACGGCATGAGGGCGGCCCAATTTTATATTATTATACACCTTGTATAACTGTGTATAAGTACTATAACCTGACAACAGTGCGTATATAAGCATATAAAATTATATCAGATTCTGATCATTCATGTCTTTTTGGCATTTCAGACAAAATGTCCTCCATTTTAAGGTAAGGCCCTCCTCACCTAGGGCACCTCGCGCCTGCAGCGTCCTCGCTTCGCTCAGATGGTGAGACTCCCTGATTTTTTTTTTCTGGCTAACACCCGGCCCTGTTCTAAGTCTCGTTGTTGCTGTGTTACTGAAATCTTTGATGACTTACAGTAGTTCTCCTTTCACAGAACGATCCTACCTACTTCTCATACACAGAAGTGCCCCTGGAGTGCAAGCGAAATGGAATCGACTACCAGGTGGCGCAAGCTGGATTTCTCGGCAAAGCCGGTGTTGTTCTTGCCCGAGACATGCCCGGCGTTCGAGCAGGTATGTAAATAAGTATAAGACTCTTTGTTTTCTGACGTCTGATGCTTTTTTATTCTTGTTTAAGCAATGACAACAGCGTCTAAGACAAAAGAGAAACAAATTATGGAGCAATAATTATGTAAGAGAATTAACATCAAGTAATATTATATATACAGTAACAGTGAGTCAGAGTTCTCTAGTAGTAGTATGTACGTATGTACGAGCAAGTGTACAACGAAGCAGACTCCACGAGTTCTCTAAAAATGGAAGGTACTGGGCGGGGGGGTCTCTGTTGCTGGTTCCAATCTCTACAGTGGAGGTATTAGAGGCTGGGTTAAACCAGATCTCAAGGTTGAAGTGTTTTGGGGAGATCACTTTTAA